CAAACTCACTGCCTGGGCGCGCACAGCACCTGGACAAGCCAAGTCCCTGGGCGGTGGCACCACACCCAGCCCTCAGCGCCCTGCCCAGGAGGGGCAAAGAGGGTGTCACGGAGTCAGAGGGGTCATGGATGCAGCATCTAATCCTCGATCTGACTCTAGATAGCAACTTGCAGCCTACGGAGAGGGTCTCGGGTGGGCTGCTGAAATACGGAGCCCCGGCAGGTTCTCAGGAGCCTCCATTTCCTGCCTGCACCACGGGGATGTGAACCATAGCATCTACCTTGCTGGGTAATTGTGACGATCACAAGACACAGTGGTGCTCCGTAGCAACCACACACTGAGCAATTACACTCTTCACTCACATGAGCTCATCTAATCCCTCACAACCACCCTTGGGGATGGAAACTATTATTAACCCCATTTTCCAGATGAGACACGTTATGTGACTCACCCTGGGTCACGAGGCCGGAAACAGCAGGGCTGGGATTTGAACCGGGGAGCCTGGCTCGGGAGCCCGAGCTCTAACCATCGGGCAGCACTGCCTCCGCCAATGCTGAGCCTTTCCCCATAACCTGGACAATGGGGGGAGTAGGTGCTGGAGGCAAAAAGGGCAAAAGGACTCTGAATGTGTCTGGGGGGAATGGTGACGGCAGGAGCGGCACTAGGAGGAGCTGGCCACACAGCTGGCATCAAATAAGAGAAAAATCACCTAAACCAGCTGGGCAGGCAAGACAGAGAAGCACAGAACCCACTGGGGCCCAGTTGGAAGGTCTCCCCGACATCTACAAGTCCACAGAAGTCGTTACTGTGAAGAAGGGAATTAAGTCCACCTTAGCCATATTACTTCATTTTTATCTTATCCCTAGAATGTTCCACAGGGGCTTTTAGGGAAAAAGAAGAGTCAAATGATTCTCTTGCTAGATGAGTTTGGAATTCCTTGAGGCAATATTTCCTATCCACAGACTCATAATGGACACTGGCAAAATAAATGCTCTGATAAGTCCTGCAGAGAAATCTGTTTCATTTATTCAGCCTAGCATTCCTCATACTTAAACGACTGTGAAACTCTTCCTTTTTCCCTGAGGCACCTATTGGCACTTCACGGAACAGTCTGAGGATTGCTGGTATACAGCAGGCATCACAAACTTTTTCTGTTAGTATTTCTGAAAATAATACATATTTTCAACTTAGTGGGCCACAGGGTCTCTGTTACAATTACTCGACTTTGCTGTGAAAGCATAAAAGCAGCCCTAGACACAATGTAAACAAATGAGTATGGCTGTGTCAATAAAACATTAGGTATCGACACCAAAATGTACATTTCATGTAATTTTATATGATATTAAATATTCTTCTTCTTTCAATTTTCCTCAATCATTTAAAAATGTGAAACTATTCTTAGATCACAGGCCACACACACACACACAAAAATCAGGCTACAGGCTGACTTTGGTCAGCGGGCTAGAGTTCGCCAACCCCTAAGACGGCAATGGAAAGCTCCAGTGTCTTCTAGGACCACCTTTGTCACCCGGGCTGGAGTGCAGTGGCCGGATCTCAGCTCACTGCAAGCTCCGCCTCCCGGGTTTACGCCATTCTCCTGCCTCAGCCTCCCGAGTAGCTGGGATTACAGGTGCCCGCCAACTCACCTGGCTAGTTTTTTGTATTTTTTAGTAGAGATGGTGTTTCACCGTGTTAGCCAGGATGGTCTCGATCTCCTGACCTCGTGATCCACCCGTCTCGGCCTCCCGAAGTGCTGGGATTACAGGCGTGAGCCACCGCGCCCGGCCTCTAGGACCACTTTTAACTCTCAGGGGCATGGAAAGGGGAAGAAGAACAAGTTGCAGGGTAGGGGGGAAGTGGGGGGACAAGCAGTAGAAAAAAGACTGATCTGGGATGCTGGGGACAAGAGTGTGTGCTAAACTCTTCAGTCCGCTCACATGGCCTGTGACTTTACGTGAGTAATTCTACAACTCAGGCAGAGCGCATGTTCTGGATGGTCTGGGGTGAGGAGGGTCTCTATTTTCTCACTCAGACCTCCCGCAGGCCTATCAAATGCTGGAATTGTTCCTGCTACCCACATCCTACTGCCAGGCACCTAAGTTGGAGAAAGAGATAAGGGCCCCTAAACTACACTTTGATAAATTGTCCCCAAGATGCTGGCCAGGATGTGACCCCAGCTCCAGCCTAAGGCAGTGGCCTTTGATAGGAAGAAAAAGAGGGAAAGTCCAGGATCAGTCAAGGAAAAGGTTATTACATTCAGCTCTATTGTCTTTTTTTTTCTTTTCTTTTTTGAGATGGATTCTCTCTCTGTTACCCAGGCTGGAGTGCAATGGTGCCATCTGGGCTCACTGCAACCCCCGCCTCCTGGGTTCAAGCGGTTCTTCTGCCTCAGCCTCCCGAATAGCTGGGATTACGGGTACGCACCACCATGCCTGGCTATTTTTTTGTTGTTTTTTGTGGTTTTTTTGCATTTTTAGTAGAGACAGGGTTTCACCATGTTGGCCAGCCTGGTTTCAAACTCCTGACCTCAAGTGATCCACCTGCCTCGGCCTCCCAAAGTGCTGGGATTACAGGTGTGAGCCACTGTGCCTGGCCAAGCTCCACTGTCTTAATCCACGTGGCAAAATCCAACATACGCAAAGTAAAAATCAAACTAAAAAACTGGGGAAATGGTTGCTGTTCAAACTGCAAAGAACCAAAATCATATAGAAAAAGACCAAAACCTACCAGAACAATGGGCAGAGGATATGAACAAACCATGTGTAGGGAGAAGCTGCAAATGGCACACATGAACAAAATGCCCCACCTCACACAGAATAAGAAAAAAAGCAAAGTCAGGCTACAAGATACCATTTGTTATCTGTTGGATTAACAAAAATCTACGTTTGAGAACTTGAACTGGCAACAATGGGAAAACAGGCATCCTCACGCATTGCTGGTGGAAACGCAAGTGGAATGGCCTCTAAAGAGGCCAAACTGACATTATCTATCAAAACTACAAATAGGCCAGGCACGGCGGCTCATGCCTGTAATCCTAGCACTTCAGGAAGCCAAGGTGGGTAGATCACCTGAGGTCAGGAGTTCGAGACCAGCCTGACCAACACGGTAAAACACTGTCTCTACTAAAAATACAAAAAGTAGCCAGGTGTGGCGGCAGGCGACTGTAGTCCCAGCTACTCAAGCAGCTGAAGCAGGAGAATCGCTTGAACCTACGAGGCAGAGGTTATAGTGAGCCGAGATCGTGCCATTGCACTCCAACCTGGGTGACACAGTGAGACTCCACCTCAAAAACAAAAACAAAAACAAAACAAAACAAACAAACAAAAACTACAAATAGACAACACCACCTCCAGGAACTGGTCCTAGAGTTACACTCAAATGAAAAATGACCTACACACCGAGGTTTCCCACTGAAGCCCTGTTTGTGAGACCAAAAGACTAGAAAACACCTAAGCATCCATCCCAGGAGAGCTGGGTAAGTCAGTTATGATGATGGTGATGATGATGATGACTGCTCTCCTTTACATGTGTATGACAATTCGGTCCTGTTCTAAGCCTCATTACTCAAAGCATGGTCCAGGGACCAGCAGCTTCTGTTACCTGGTGGCTGTCTGAAAACACAGACTCCTCTGCTCCAGGCCAGCTGAATCAGAATCTGCATTTTACCAAGATGCCTGGGAAAATCCCATGCACATTAAGGCACCATTTTAAAAAACTCTTCCCATAATAACCCATTACATCTTGTAACAACCCAATAGCCCAAACCCTCTCATCACCTGCATGCTGGAGATGAGAAAGCCCAGGCTCTGACAGGTTAGGGAAATGGTCCAACGCCACAGTGTGTGTGGGTGGCAGAGCTACATGGACACAAAACACATGGAACAAGGAAGCTCTTTAATGGCTGACAGGACCAATCTCTGAGATAAGTCATCAGTTGGAGAACACTGTATATGCCAGGCCACCATTTATGGGAGGGGGAAAAACTGAAAGCTGAATCTCCATGTAATTTCTGAAATACCCAGAGAGCATCTCTGAAAAGAAGGAAACAGCAATTGTCCCTGGGAAGTGGAACTCAGCAGCTGGAGAAGAAAGTGGGAGGGAAACTATTTCGTGTTACACATGTATCGTTCATAGCTCCAAAGGCAAACATTGCGAAGGTGTTTATTCAAAAATAAATGAAAAAAAATTTGTGTTCATAAAACTGGTGGAAGGAAGAAGTTACACAGCTGGAAACCATCACCACTGAATTTTTAGCAAAGTCAAGCTACAAGATACCACTTGTTATCTGTTTGGGGTGGGGGAAAATTAGCACAGAGAAGCCCATTCCCACTTCCCCACTCACCATCCTTCCTTCTTCCCTTCTCAAAGGAGGCAGAACTGTGGTGGGAATGAGAGGTGTGGGGGAGGGCAGACTCACAGTGGATTCTCCAGGAACTGGGGACTCAGACCCACATTCAGGTTTTAATGTGGAAGGGACTAATGCCTTGCATGAGGGCAACTTTGTCCCACAGGGGACAATCTGGCGATGTCTGGAGACATTTTTGGGTGTCACAACTGGGAGATGCTACTAGCATCTACTAAGAGGCCAGGGATGCTGCTAAACACCCTGCAGTTCACGGACAGTCCAGAATGTCCTGTGTCCTGTGGTGTCACCTTGGAGCTCTAGTTAAAGTGCAGGTTCTGATGCAGCAGGTCTGGGGAGGGCCCGGGATTCTGCATTTCTCATAAGAGGGCTGCCCTCACCCCTGCTGATGTGGGACCACCCTTTGTGTAATGAAGCCTTACCCAATTCTGCTATGGCCAAACATGTAATCTTCTCATGGAAAGAGGGGAAGGGGCTGCTTCCGGTTTGGATCAAAAGGCTGAACATGGAGTACCCGTTCGGAGGGGTGGGGAAGCCTGTTTGTAGTGAGGCAAGCATGAGCACTACTGAGACCCTCCTGAAGTCCAGGAGCACAGGCTGCATTAGGACTGGTGGTGGCAGTGGCCGGGGGACTCACCATCCAGCGTCTCCACCGAGAGCTGCAGGCCCAGGTTGTGCCGCGGATTGACCACCCAGTGGTTGCTGGTGGCTGTGATGTCGAACACCAGCCAGCCCTCCTCTGAGGCCCAGAGGGTGCGGCTGTCGAGCAGGAAGAGATCCGATTCCCTGCGAGAGAGGAGGAGAGACACAGGCTTTGCGTCAGCCAGGTCACAGCTCAGCTTCCCCAACAGATGGGAAGCAGAGCCTCATGGGGTGGGAGGGGAGGGAAAGAGTCCACTGGTCCCCCACAAGTGGGAACATCAGACCAAGATCCAGGCACAAAGACCCCTCAGTAGTTGTGGTGAGGAAAGAGAGTGCAGAAGAGCTACAAAGAGACACATGCAGGGAACAGGCAGCTGTTACAAGGCAATATCACCCCACAAATTGTTAGGGGCATCCCAGCGGGACAGAGTACAGGAAGACAGGGATTATGCAGCCTCCGTGTTGCTGGAAGAGTCTCAGAGAGCAGAAGTTGATAGTGACTGAACTATTTACCATGTGCCAGATACTGTCCCACAGGCTCAACACTATACTGTCTCATTCAATTCCCACAACCCTAAGTTCATTTCCAGGACGTGCACCATCTTCCTGAGCCCACCAAGAGGCAGGAGGTGAATCTCTGGACTGACGGTATTAATAGTGAAAATCCTTTCATTCTCTCTTCCTCACTTTTTACAGTAGCAAAATGGGTAAAATCATAATTAACTTGATAGGGGATGGAGGGTGGATGGATGGGTAGATGGATAGGTGGGTGGATGGATGGGTACATGGGTGAATGAGTGAATGGATGGATAGGTGGTTGGATGGATGGGTACATGGGCGAATGAGTGGATGGATGGATGGATGGATGGATGGATGGATGGATGGATGGATGGATGGATGGATAAGTGAATGCATGGGTAGATGAGTGGGTGGCTGGGTGGGTGGGTGGATGGATGGATGAGTAGATGGGTGGGCAGGTAGGTGAATGAGTGGATGGGTAGATGGGTGGATGGATGGATGAATGGGTAGATGAGTAGATGAATAGGTGGGTAGATAAGTGGATTGTTATGTTTCTGGATAGTAAAAATTTAGTATGAAAAATCTTCATAACATTTCTTGCACACCTTTAATAAGGATTCAAAGTTTCAATACTTTAAGTCCTTTAATAGTCAACTAGAATGTTTATACCACTGTGTTGTACCAGAAACCAAGGCATAATGATGAACAACGTGACACTGGTCCCTGCCCCAGGACAACAACAGTCTCTATCATACCCAGAGTTATCTAATCTTCCTGGGGATTACAGTGAATCTTCTCTGCTCACACATAAAGATGTCAGACATACCCTTTATGGAGCACTCACCATGTGCCAGGCTCTGGGTTGAAACGCCTGACCAGTCTCATGTCACTTAGTTCTTACAATACTATGTGGGGTAGATAATACTCCCCATGCCATTGTGCAGAACTCAAAACTGAGGCTCTGAAAGGTCGAGTTATTTGCCCAGGGTTATGCCACTGGGACAGTCCAGGCAGGACTGGAAACCAACCAGGCTACCTGCAAGCCCAAGCTTGCAACCATACACAAAGACAGTTCTTCTGGACACTGCCTTTTCAGAGCCTTTCACCAGTCAACCTCATTGGAATGTAACCCACTAAACCACGGGCAGGAGCCCAGCCACCGATGTCCCTTTGATGAGGCACACATCTCCAGTTGGCTCCAGCCCCCAGCTCTCCCTACTAACACTGTGGAAAACCACCCTTATTTATCTTCCTGTCTGACCTAGACAACTCTAGGTTTGTGAGGTCTGCTAGATCACCCTTCTGCTGCATGCCATAATCTGTCAGACATCCATCAGGCACATCAATGTGAACAAGGCTCAGAGAAAGCATACGGGAAACAGATCTGTAATGTTAGTGAGTGCTGGGAGATTAACAGACCCAGAGAAGCATACACAGGGAAGAAGAACCAGAGTCAGAAACCGACAGGAACCAAGGCAGGTGCGAGGGCACAGGGCAATTTTCTCAGGCAAAAGCACAGAAGGAACAAATCGGAGCTGCTTTTCCCTCTGGGCCTCTCTCCATCCAAAACTCTGGGGGAGAGAATCCAGTTGGCCCAGTCAAGTCATGTGCCCACTCCTAGCCATGGGAGGGTGGGCACTCCACAGCAATGGACAGCATCACCAGGACCAAAGATGGGGGCAGGAGTCACCTCACCCCATGCCCCCCGAAACTCTCCTTTTTAATAACCCCCAGAACCTGATTCAAAAAATGCTTAATTCTGTTATTGCTATGGTTTCAATGTTTTGTCCTTCCCAAGACTCATGTTGAAAATCCCCAATGCATCATTATTAAGAGGTGGGCCCTTTAGGAGGTGATTAGGCCATTGGGGATGGATTGATGTATTTATGAATGAGTTTGGAAAAGTCTGGTCCCTTTTTGTTTTTCCACCTTTGACCACGTGAGGACACGGCAACAAAGTGTCATCTTGAAGCAGAGGGCAGCCTTCACCAGACACTGACCCTGCCGGCACCTAGATCTTGGACTTCCCAGTCTCCAGGACTATGAGGAATGAGGTTTTTGGTTGTTTTTTTTGTTTTTGTTTTTGTTTTTGTTTTTGTTTTTTTAAAGATTGTAAAGGACTCATTCCTCGCTCAAGCACAGAGAGATGACAGAAGCAAGGAAGTCTTTTTAGAGCCACACAGGACTTTGAAGACCCTAAATTTGCCTTTCACATCCAAACTGAATTAAAATAATGAGATGATTTTTCATGACTCATTAACTTCTTCTTCCCCATGCTCTCTTAGAGGTAGTTTCAGGCTGGCTTTGGGGATGTCTACACAGATTTTAAACTTATAAACAAGAATTTCCTGCTGTCTTATCTCCAGTTTGCCTGGATGACTTTCCTGGCTTTGAAAAGCTACCAAGGTTGTCAATGAACCATTAGCTATTCTCAACAATTAACAGATGAGACAAGAAGCACCACTCCAAGTTGAAACAACTTCTCCTACTGAATCAGGCTCCCAAGGCCCCTGTAGGAAATATCCACACCCCAGCACAGAAGTCACAAACCCAGGTGGTGATTTTGCTGGAAAATTGTTATTAGCAGGAAAATGTGACCAGATAATCTGGACAGGCCCTCGAAGACAGTGAAACAATGAATGGTAACCAGGGGAACAGAGTGAGATCTTTAAACAGAGAACACCTCGCCAAACGATACTGAGCATTCTCTTATTGCAGGCTATGACACTGAGGCCAGATGCTACAGGCCAGCGCTGACTCATCCATGAATCAACGTGAACGCGTTGACTCCCCTCCTTCAAGTCATAGTTTGCAATGTGTCCCAGGCACGTTTAGGAGAGCCAAATCTTCATCGGAAGGCACCGGGAGACAGGAGCCTTGCTGAGATGGGTCAAGTGTGAGATGCTAACACGGGCTTTGCTTTCAGACTGAGAGCCCAGGTGTGAGGTTGGACCTCATGGAAAGGACAAGGAAGGAATTACTCAGCAGCCAGGTCCAGTCTGACAGCTGGGAGAGGGGAAATTTCTAGCTGCCACCTCGAGCATCATAAAAGAACACTGGTTCTTACAACCAGGAGAGCACTGAAGGAGCCCTTTGTGACGTTTTATTTACCTTGAACACATTGGCCTCCCTGGCCCAGCCCAGGTGAGAGAAGAGGTAGGGAAGGCTCAGGGTGAAAGGCCTTGAGGAACCTAAACGTGTTCTTTCACCTTCGCCACTGTTGAGAATCTCGGTGCTTTCCACACTTCGGTTCTCTGAATCTCCCCACCAGCCCTATGAAATGGTCAAAGTCCTGTTACCATTTTACAGATGAGAAAAGTCGGGGTCAGTGAAATGAAGCCAATTGTTTGCAGTGACACATCTGATAAGTGGCAGAACCAGGTGACAGCGCAGGAAACCTGACTCAAGAACCTGAGTGCTTAAACCCTGCCACCTCCTTCACTCACCTGGGGACAAGAGACACATAGGAATATGTTGAATCCTGTATGATACATGATGTCATCACAGAGAGAGAAAATACTAGAGAGGGATGAAACCTGGGTGATGGAGAAGGGATAAGGCAAGGTTACGCCAGATAATTCCTGTGTCTTGGTTTCCACTTATGTAAAATGAGAATAATGCCATCTTTTTCAATGATTAGGAAGAGCCAAGTTAAGACCAGCCTGGCAGCAAACTCCCAGATGCTCCTGGAATATAGTTATTACAAGGTGTGTCAGTGTTGGTGTCTATTCTCTGCTAAACTTCAGGAAATCCTAGGATGGGGACTTTACATGTCTTGGCCCCAGAAGTTACGTGACTTGCCCACAGTTCTCCAGTCAACACACTACATGTCCATTCCAAGCATGTTTACCTTGGACTCCAAAATTTGTCAGAAAAGTGTTCTGTGTTCACAGTAGTGTTAGATTTTCTGCAAATACGGCCACCAATAATTCCTTGTCTCTGTATGCAGATGCTGCTGTCCCATAAACTTGTGGAGTCTGTTCCCCACCTCTGAAGTCTGGACTGACCATGTAATCTGCTGTGACCAGTAGGACCCAGTGGAACTGAGGCCCTGCCAGGCTCAGGACTAGGATTTAAGAAGCCTATCATTTCTGTGTTTGCCCTCTGGGAAGCAAGCCACTGAATCAAGAAATCTGACTACACTGCTAAAGAAGAGACCACATGGAGGGGAAGGAGGCACAGGCCATGGAGGATAAGGATCTATAAACCAGAGAGAGAGAGAGAAACCAAGTCAGTCCCCAGTGAGGCACCATCTCAGGCCTTCCAGACCTAGTCAAGCTCCTAGCTCCATCAGTGACCACAGAAGACACCAGAAAGAGTAGAAGAACCACCCAGCTAAGCCCTGCCTAAATTCCTGAGCAATAAAACAATGTTGTTTTAAGCCACTATATGTGAGTGGTTAGTTTCAGAGATACATAACCCAAACAACAGTCACATTGTTTATAACAGAAAAACTGAAAACTAACCATCCAGTGAGAGAGACTGGTAAAAACATTATGGCACGTCCAAGGCAACAGAGCCCTGCACAGTCACTTCAAAGGACCATATAAAGCTACACTTGTTGACAAGGTGGAAATATGATAGGAAAGTATTTAAGAAACAGAATTTGTAGGATGTAAACTTCT